GGTATGAATTTCACGGTACGGTATTTATTGAATCATTTACAGGAAAAACAAAACTAATGAAAATACTCCAAAAAAGTGCCAAAAGTGTCAATGACATACAAATTAGCCATCTATCTGTAAGCTTTGAAACAGGAACTTCAATTTTAATAACAAAAAAATATTAAACCATGTAAAAAAAATAAAGTTTCAATTTAGTATTGTTGAAAACGCATCACATTAAATATTTAATAACTCACTCACTTAGATAGAGATGGGTTTTAAGGAAAATTATCATATAAATATAATCTGGTAAAAGCTGGTATCTCTGGGCATTTACAATGTCCCCTGCAACAGAAAAAAAAACCTCTCATTTGGGACTGAGGTTTCTGGGACAGAGATATGACTTGCCCCAGGTTGACAGCAGTGGGTAATGTTGTGCATTGTCTTTCCCCCACTTGAGAGGACAAGCCATGAGTGAGATAGAGGTCTCTTTGCGGTACAAGTCAATGTCTGCATCAATCTGAACAGTGTGCTGTGTTTCTGGAGTCCCCATGACTGTTATTAGTCGTATTCCCCAACTTGTATTTCACCACAGTCTGGCAGTGCCTGCATACCGGGTTTTTTCTTTGTCTGTCACCTTTTCTCCTTTCTCGTATCTTTTTAGAGAGAAACCAAAATGCTTCCACACATCCGATTTAAAACCCGCTTTAGGTTCGATCATTTCCAGCTCTTTTTCATCCTTGCTACTAGCAGCACACTCCATTTCCGCATTACTGGATCTGTAGCGACAACAGATTGCAAAGGATGATGGCCACGCTTGGGCTGATGGGAATTGTAGTTTCCACTACCTCCCGTTCGCTTCATTCGCCTGAGCAAATTATTCAATATATATATATATATATATATATATATATATATATATATATATATATATATATATATATATATATATATATATATATACACACAGTTGAAGTCAGAATTATTAGCCCCCCTGAATTATTAGCCCCCTGTTTATTTTTTCCCCAATTTCTGTTTAATAGAGAAAATATTTTTTCAACACATTTCTAAACATAAAAGTTTTCATAACTCATTTCTAATAACTGATATTAACTTAGCCATGATGACAGTAAATAATATTTGATTAAATATTTTTCAAGACACTTCTATACACCTTAAAGTGACATTTAAAAGCGTAACTAGGTTAATTAGGCTAACTATGCAGGTTAGGGTAATTAGGAAAGTTATTGTAAACCAGTGGTTTGTTCAGTAGACTATTGAGATAAAATAAAGCTTAAAGGGGCTAATAATATTGTCCCTAAAATGGTGTTTAAAAAAATTAAAACTGCTTTTATTCTAGCCAAAATAAAACAAATAAGACTTTCTCCAGAAGAAAAAATATTATCAGACATTATACTGTGAAAAACATAATTTGGGAAATATTTAAAAAAGAAGAAAAAAATTAGAAGGGGGCTATTAATTCTGACTTCAATATATATATAAATATATATATATATATATATATATATATATATATATATATATATATATATATATATATATATATATATATATATTAGGGGTGTCACGATTTCAATTTTTAATCAAAATCGCTCAACATTTATCCTCAATTTCGATTATCGAATCAAAAAATAGAATCGTCGATGCTGCCACGCCCCCATGTCACGTCAGCTTGGCTTGCCAAGCGGGAAAAAAACAGGCTTGTTGAAGTGCTTGTTAAACTGCAGAAGCAGGAGACCCGTCAACAGAACTTAAACCCTCTCCTCTTTCAATGAAGTCGCCGGTGTGTAAGCATTTTGGATTTCCAGTGAGTTATGTTGACAACGTTTGTGTTGTCGACAAAAAAAAAAAAACACAGTTTTGCAAGCTCTGCCTCTGAAAATGCACATTACGTGACCACACAGACACAGACGCACATACAGCCTTGCGCTCGAGACAGCAGGTCCAGGCAGTCAGAGGACTGCTTCAATCTTTCACTCACTTGTACTTAGTCATTTTAGCGAACACCTCAGATACTGTTGGCTGGTTCCTGTTGGTTGTGCCTCTTTTTTACCGACGCCATTATAACGACACAGATCACTGCCTATTCACGAGTCCCGCAGAAAAAGTGATTGACAGGTGGTAATTATCTGTGTATCTTGCCTTTATTCATTTACTGTATGATTTGTTTATGGGTAAAACAAAGACCATACGGGTCAGGTAGTTTAAACGGTAGGCTATAAATAATTAATTGGTCATTAATTAATTAATTATTCATAATCGAAAATCGAATTGAATCGAATCGTGACTTTAGAATCGAAAATGTAATCGAATCGAGAATTTGGAGGATTGTGACACCCTTTATATATACACACACATACATATATATATACATATATATACAGTATATATATATATATATATATATATATATATATATATATATATATATATATTTTTTTTTTTTTTTTTTTTTTTTTTTTTTAATTAAAGTGACAGTGTCATTATGCAAAAAAATAGTTTAAAGGGTTAAAATGTTTCAAATGTTTGTTTTTTTGCTAGTTATGATCAATAATCTGAGAGAAGACAACAAGAACAACTTTAAAAAGTTTGTGTATGTCTGTACGTGGTGTAAAACTATGGAACAGTATAGTTCAGACTCTAAAACAACGTCAGGATATTAATCAATTTAAAAAATTGTATAAATATATATTAATAAAGGAATTTAAGGATGAAGGTGATTAAAACAGCATAAAAAGAAAAAGGTATGATTAAATTTTAATTAATGGCTATTTGCAGTACTATGTTGATGTTGTTGTTTTTTCTTTTTTCTATTTGCAGTACTATGTATTTTTTTCTTTTTCTTTTTTTCTTTGGGTCTATGTTACAAAATGAAAAGGTACAAATGGAATCAAACATATTATTTGTAAAAGATGCCAAAAGGATCAAATATGTTTCGTGTAAAAAGAAGAGATAGGTAAAAGAATAAATAAGTTTAAGTAATAAACGAATGATGTATGTGGTAATGGGGTGGGAGTATCCAGCGGAGTATCATAACTAAAACCTTAATATATGAAATAAAAACTAATACTGAATTAAAACAGAATAAATTCAGATTTACACATTTACTCAAGTAAATAAACAGAATTAATGATGGGCTAAAAATCTGCAGAAAATCTGTGGAATTCTGTGCGCGCAGATTCCGTGTGGGCCTACCAATGAGGTATCAATATGGACCTTTTAGATATAAATGTGTACCTTTTGAAAAGGTACCACCCCAGTGACAGCTCGCGTACTTTTATTTCTGAGAGTGTAGGGTAAATAAGATTTTTGTCAATGATCAGAAACAAACTTTTCACAAACTTTTTTGGTCACATCTATAATGCATGTTTATTTCCTAATTTAAAATATTAAAATTGTTTGCAGACTAGTCATGGGACGATAACTGTTTTCAAGGTATCCCATGGTTTGGAAAAGTCAAATTTTGTACTTTACTGTTCCTATATATATATATATATATATATATATATATATATATATATATATATATAGCAAGTATCTACAGCAGAAAAGATATCCAATGATGCCACTTTAAATTGTAAATAAAATCTGTTTTTAAAACTAATGAAGAAAGGAGAATCAATCACAATACCGTGAAAATGTGTTTTTTTTTTTAAGGTTATCATATACCGTCAAAGTCTTATACCCGTGCCTATTGCTTTTTTTTTGATCCCATAACTCTGTGGTTAGTAGTTTTGGAAAATATAACCAGATGTGCCAATGTATTGTTAACATATACTTTCTCTGTGAATTTCTGTTTTAAGTATTTACTGTAAATGTTGCATCCATAATGCTGGTATTGATCTATTTGATCCACCGACCAAACCTAACAACAATTGCCTTTAAAAAAGGAGCAGAAAAGATTTGAACACTTTGAAGCCTTGCCAAGAATAGGGAAGCCTGTTAACAGCAGATGTTTTCCAGACCAAACCATCTTTAAAATACATCTTGCAGACGTACATGTGCTATCTTGGTAAGTGTAATAGGTTTTTTTTTTTTTTGTACTGCATACATTTCTGAAAGGAAATGAAGATTAAATGTTGAAATTGAATATAAATTCACATTTTGACAAAAATATTTATTTATTTATAAATTCATTAATTAAAAAAAAAAAAAAAACAATTGCCTGGAAAAAATGGAAAACTTATTAGACATGTTTTAAACACCAGATGTCCTTCCATGCAAGAATTGATAAATTAAAAAAAAAACCTGGTTGTCATATTGCTATTGCTCTAAAAAAAAGGACATGTACATGCATTGAAGCACAAAAACCGAAACACGAAGAGTTAAAATAAGTCTTAAGTAAAATAGCTAAAAAGATGCACAGAATAAAACGACTGAACTGAAGATCAGACATATTCTCTTTAAAAAAGCTAATAGTTTTGCAGACTGAGTCAAAAAGGGATGTTCTTGAGTCTGACTGCGTGTCAAGAAGAACACAAACATTTTCCACGTGAAGTTGCTAAAACCTGCTCTGATCTTCTAGAGCCGTGAACGGATGATCCTGTTCGAGCGGTCACTTCTTATTTGACACACCTTCAAAGAGTCGAGATTGTTGCTAAATAAACACATACAAATAAATAACCAACGACACACTGCTGTCCGGGCTCAAACGAGAGCCATTAATAACTACTTGACAGCAAACAGTTTAACAAGAGGCGCTCTGGAAAGCTATAAATTACATAACCGCAATTAAAGTGCCAACCCCTGACCCTGACTGAGAGGCACAATCTTTATCACCTGATTTTAACATTGGCACTGGTTCCAAGTCAATACACATGACACGACCGCGCCGATAACTCAGGCACGTACAATTTATGAGCATATAGTACAAAGTCCGTCTGAAGAAGCCGTACTTCAGATAAACACACACACACACGGCGCGGGACCACACTCGTGGAAATCAACAGCGTTCATACTTCCGGGACGAAAAAGAAGACGGAAAACTACCAAGCACTTACTGAGATGGAGATATGTGTCGTTATTATCCATGTTTGGACGAATATGAAAGAAGTGTCCAGTTTAGTGGCAAACTGTCTCGTTTCGCCGTCCTGGACGGCAGCATCTCCCCGCTGCTATCCGCGATCTGACTGAGGATTCGCTGCGCACTCTTGGGGCCCCACCGAGGGGGAGGCGAGGTCCAGACCTCTCACAGCGACAGCCTACTCAAGCTCTACAAGTGACCACAATACACAACATCGCTTTTAATGATTTATATGAATGTGTTTGGTTGTATAAATCATCACAAAATAATTAAATAATCACAATAATAGTATAAATAAATAAAATAATACACTCTTTTTGACAAATCATCATGCAACTCAAATGTAAAATAATTTCAATTCAGATTGAGTCAACATTTACTGATATGTTGATTAAAACTTAAAATAAGGTGAATAGCATATGTTAGCATATGTTCTGAGTAGGCTCTTTCAAAGTTACTGAAGTAACATCATTAGTTAATGAATTAACTAAAATTAGCTAATAGGATCTTATTAGGAAGTGTTATAAATGCAGTATAATTTTATTTTGATTAAAATTTTGTTTTGCAATTTTTATAACTATGACCTTAAAGAGCAATAGCGTAAAAAGAGTGCAATAGCAAAATGAAAGAGAAAATAATTACATTGTTACACATGCACACACTTTACAATAGTAAAAACAATAAATGATGCATATGAAAATGCAATAACAAACCTGCAAACAAACCTAACCCCTAACCATATAATAAGTCTATGGTGTTAATTCATTTTACTCAGCAAAAAAATATGGTTTTACTATAAGAAAGGCAAGGTAACAAGGATAAAATAATATGTAACTAACCAAAGTTTCAGTTTTATCATTATGTATTTATTTTGGGTGGATCATGCACTAAAGACATTCACTCACAAAGCAATTCGTAATATCAATATATAATTTTTGATCAATGTTTTAAATTTAACGTCAATTTAAAGGTTTCAAAAGAAATTTTGGCTGAAGGAATGCAGAGATATGTAAAATATTAAAACAAATACTAGTTATTTATTATTTAAAAAGGCTTCTTTTTCCACAGTGATAGCATAGGAGATCAATTTTTGATTCATCGAAGAATTAAAAATCATATCAGTTCTAAAAACATAAACTTCTATTTAGTTTAACTTCTTAGTGTGAACGCTGCGAAAATGCCTTTTTTTAGCTGAGATTTTTTGTCCTGTTTCTAGTCTGAATAGCCACAAATGCTTAAATCAAGAAGCATTTTCTAGACAAGTAAAAAATATTTTCTTGATTTGAGAAATAATTTGCTTAAATTGAGTAAATTTTTTTCCTTAAAACAAGTAAAATAATCTGCCAGCGGGGTAAGAAAAATAAACCTGTTTTTGATTTTAAACAAGATTATTTTTCTTACCTCGTTGGCAGATTATTCTGCTTGTTTTAAGGAAAAACATATTTAATTTTGGAATATTTTTTCTTAAATCAAGACAATAAGTTTTGCTTTTTAATTTAAGAATATTTAGATATTCAGACTAGAAACAGGACAAAAAAAATAATAATCTAAGAACATCTAAAAATCTAACAAACCGTTGATGTAAATATGCTTAAAATGACATTTTAAAAAGAAATATTCATGGAGCCATCATCACCAATAAACAAACTTCATTTTTAAGATTGTGAACACAATAATTAGAACAGCTTTCATTAAATCAACACCACATCATTATTTTAGATTAGCGTTCTCATTTGCAGTTTTATTGGGTCAGAGGATTATCATAATATTCTTTCCCTACAAACTGCTTAGTGCAAGATCTGCTGACCATGGCCTTTTAGAAATCTTTTGCGAGGGCAGAGGAAACAAAAAGAATTCTCCACATTCCAGGCGCTCTGTCCCCACAAGGCTAGCGGAGGGTCTGAAGACCCCTCGACGCCCCCCAAGATCTCTTCAGAGTGAGGGGTCATTTAAGGGTGAGCTCCCACTACCTCAGGAGGTTATTCAGAAGTCACCAGCATTCAGAGTGTTGAACTCCTGTTCCTGAGAGAGAGGGTTAGTGATGACCACTCTGTCAGTCCGCAAGCCGACTTGTCGAATGGGAAAAGCACACTGGCTCCCATCCTTGTAAAAACAGCACATAAAAGAACACAGAGGGACGCTAACAAAGACAAATGGCTTCTCTTCCAACTCATTCCACACTAATCAGGCCCTTTTCATTTGTTCCCTGTTAGATAATGTAAATTTGTGGAGTCAAAGAAAGGGACTAAAAGGACAATTTATCAACCTCCCTTTTATCCCTCTAATGGAGCCACATGTTACAGAGCATTACAATCGCCCTGAGCTGCAAAGTATATCAGAGCCGACGAGAATGGGGATTGGATTTCGTTGCGAACGTGAATTCAATCCTGTTGAGGCGGCATGATGCAAATAGGTGCTTTTAACATGTCATATTAAAGGAGATCAGCTGCTTGAGAGATGTGGAAAAGCTCTTAATCACTGCAGGTTTGCCTGGATTTTTTTTGCTGTTTGTCCTCAACAATTACTGCCAATTGAGCATTCAGTTGCAGGGTGTCGGAGACCTCACCCTTGCTATCATCTATCACTAGTTAAAAGCAGAGCGACCCACCCCTTAACCCAACAGTCACGTCTCTGAGACCAGCCGAGAGAAACCAGCAGTCTGGTCATCTCCGTCTCAGACAACAGATAGTGTTTGGGGGGCACCATGTGGCAAATACACAGAGACCAAAGCAGTCTGATAAATGCGCAAGGGTTATCTGAAATGTGCATATTTAAGAGAATATTTTAAACAAGAGAGTGTGAGCAATGTTTTTTTATTGGAAATGGGGATCTAGCATCGAATTACATCTGTCTTATAGCTTTCAGTCAGTGTTTGTCTTGTTGAATATTCAGTTCAACAATAGTTAAAGTCAATCATCCGCATTTGAGTTGAGTTCCAAAAAATAGTAATAATAAAATAAATAAATAAATAAAAATTAAAAACAATAAAATAAAGGGTAATGCGGTGGCACAGTGGGTAATGCTGTCACCTTACAGCAGGAAGGTGTCTGGTTCGAGCCTTGGCTGGGTTAGTTTGCATTTCTGTGTGAAGTTTGCATGTTCTCCTCTTGTTCGCGTGGCTTTCCTCCGAGTGCTCTGGTTTCCCCCACAAGTCCAAGGACATGTGGTATAGGTGAATTGAGTAGGCTAAATTGTCCGTATTTTATGTGTGTGAATGAGTGTGTATGGATGTTTCCCAGAGATGGTTTGCAACTGGAAGGGCATCTGCTGCGTAAAACATATGCTGGATAAGTTGGTGGTTCATTCCGCTGTGGCGACCCCAGATTAATAAAGGGACTAAGCCGAAAAGAAAATGAATGACAATAAAATCAAAAATCAAAAATGGAGGTTGCTGTGCACAAGATTTTTTTACTTAGTAAATAGCTTTTTTAAGTGAGCTTCCTGTGAATCGTAAAAATGTAGTCTTTTGAAATTTAGTTTGTTCTACTCAAACAATGTACACTCAATTAAGTCATGCTTTCAAGTCTGTGATTTACTTTAAAAACACTGAAGCAAACAACATAGTAGTTGTCTTGTCACAATCAATAAGATAAAATGTGCAACAGAGGGAATCAGGTACCTGCACTGTAAAAAATATCTGTTATTATCAGTTTTCGTATTTAGTGTTTTTAGTTTATTTACGATTGTGAATTGGATTATGGGATGTTGATCTCTGCTCTGTCTATTTTTGATGTTGAAAGTTTAACTCTACAGTTAAACCAAGTGACTTTTATTGACATTTTAGAAGTTTGAAATAATGTAATGTATAGGAAATAATAGAGATATAAGTAAATATATCTAAAAATAAGTATTATAAATAACAGAAAATCTACTGACAGTTTGTAACAAGGTTTCTGTTGCGTAATAAACTGTACAACTTAGACATTAATTCACTTTAAACTTAAACATTTTCATAAAAGTAACTTTTTTTAACTTTTCAAGGTTAAAACTTGTTTAAGGTCCATTAATGCAATTCAGAAACATAAATAAATGGGGGAAAATAAAAAGGAAAAAGAAAAATTACCAAATACAGAAATCTCCTAATTTACAGATTTTTTTTTTTTTTTTACAGTTGTAGGTCAATTTTAATTCTCCAATAGAAACCTTTTATTATATTTCAAATTTTTGAATAATAATGCAAAGTAGATTTAACTTATATCTGAAAAATAAACTTTTAATGTGTATTTGAGCACATTTTCTCTTGAAGATACTAACATGGAGACTCCCAGTATGCCTATTTTTGTGCACATCCCAAATTTTGTGTATGTCCCTAAATTCTCTGCCTCCTGAATTCCAACTTCAATTATAATGAAAAAAAAAAAAAAAAACATTCAACTGTAATAATTTTTGTTGTATTTACTTTACTATGCTACAGTTAAAGTCAGAATTATTAGAAACCCCTGAATTATTAGCCCCCTGCTTATTTTCTTTTTCCACAATTTCTGTTTAACGGAGAGAAGATTTTCTCAACACATTGTTAAACACAATAGTTTTAATAACTCATTTCTAATAACTGATTTATTTTATCTTTGCCATGATGACAGTAAATAATATTTTACTAGATATTTTTCAAGACACTTCTATGCAGCTTAATGTGACATTTAAAAGCTTAACTAGGTTAATTAGGTTATAGGCAGGTTAGGTTACAGACTATCGAAAAAAAATGTCTGGGAATTTAAAATGTTGCTCTTATTCTAGCCGAAATAAAACAAAAAGGACTTTTACCATAACAAAAAATAATATTAAACACACTGTGAAAATTTCCTTGCGCTGTTAAACATCACTTGGAAAATATTTGAAAAGGAAAAAAAAAATCAAAAGGGGTTTAATAATTCTGATTTCAACTGCATGAACAAACTTTGCATAGGAAACAATATTTTGTATTATTTGTCATGTTTGAAATCAAACATTAATTTGTGTATGTCCCTAAATTCTCGTCAACTCTGTTACATGGGTTATCAAAAGGCATGACAATCTTTAAAGCACTGAAAGAAAAAGCATGTGACTTGCTCCAAGGGATTTCCCTTCCTCTGAGAAATTCATTGTGGCTCTGAGGCATGTCATTA